TAAAACAACATAGAGCTTGTTTGTTCTAAATCATTCTCTCTAGATTTATTTAGCACAATACCAAGAATTACCAGCTGTTCACTGCTTTCCTTGGATGAAAATGATGAGCAGTTTTGGGAGCCATGCCCGCACAGAATTCTAGGAAATCCCAGGATGCATCTGTAAGTACGTATCCAATCTTCAGAGGTTGGAGACCATACCTGTTCGTTAGGAATTATTTTCCAGGGGTGAATATACATATACAGGTTTCCCCTGCTATCAGAATGTAGAGTGTTTCTATGAAAGCAAAATGGCGTACAGTGAAGACACAATTATCCTTTATTTATACGGAAAACTTTTTGAGCATTCCTAGACCCAAAAAACAGCCTCTCTTGGGCTTTTATGATACCTTAGGACACATCTTGCTAACAGATGCACAAAATAAATCAAGACAAAACACAGATGCTCACAGAAACAATTCAAAGCTATGGCAACCTAATACCGAGATGCTGAGTACAGTTTTCAGGGAAGGAGCTTAGCAGGACCACTCTCCCTGCTTGGGGTGCATTCTGCCTCTACAATGACTTGTGCAAAACAAGCACTGAATACTATCTTTGCTTTTCACCTTCTTTCACAGAAGCGAAATCCTCTTTGGATTTCTTCCTGTTAGTGAAAACAGGTACTGATGTACGTCTTTCGTAGAAGGCAAATGGCTTAACATGAACCTTTGCAAGTTGGGGATACTTGCATATATTTTAAGAAAGGGCTTTAGGATGAACTAGATTGGAGTTTGAAGAGCTCAAGCCCTCTCATCTTTTTTCTTGCAATCCATTTCTACATGGTAAATGGCAATGATAATAATTTTGTGGGGTAAGGAAGTCAATGGCCAGTCTTCGCCAGAATAAGTCCTCCTTGTGACTTAAAGACTAGAGTCTTTAAAATTAAGAAATACTTTAGTCATGCTTAGTATTTGACCAGGATTTTTTCAAACACGCACATTAACAATACCGAATGCTACTTACTGAAGTCAAACTAAAATATGAATCTAACATTTAGATGTTTGTAATTTTTAAAATATAGTAGTACATGGAAAAGTAAAAAATTCCATATTCTGCTATTTTTCTAAGAATTCATTTTCTTTAATTTGTATTTTTTTCATGTATGGAGTAAGAAAGAAACAAGGCAGGGTATTTTCACAATTATGGATAATGCACGTGTTGATAGGTTTGGGAAAATTTGGTCTTTTTGTTTGTTTTCATTTAGTAAACATTCCCTGTGTTCTAGCTCTATTCTAGGCACTGTGTTAGCCCTCGGGGATACAATGGCGAATCATACTCGCCAGCAACCCTCTTGATGTAGCCACAAAACAGACAATTCCGGGGGGG